GGGGGGGGGAATCTTCTCTTGGTCCTTGCTTAAAACATGTGAGGTGCTACTGAGGTGTAACTTAATAGTCACCAAAGTTTCAGTGACCCTCATAAAGCGACCAAAAAAATAAGGAATAACTTAATTGTTATGCGAAGTTTACAAAAGAATTCTGGCTTGTTTCAGAACCATTAACGCGTTGAATTCAGGAATTTCCCTGGAGATAGATATAGATATTAAAAAAAAATATGATGGGGCCAAAATACACTGCAGAAATAATCCAGTTTGAGACCACTTTAACTGCTCTGGCTCTGCTAGGGAATTCTGGGAACTGTAGTTTGTTGCGGTCCCAGAGCTCTCTGACAGAGAAGGATTCAGTGTCTTGCAAAACATCAGCTTTCACACAATGCTGTCATCTAATCTCTGGTCCAAAACACACTGCAGAAATAATCCAGTTTCAGACCACTTTAACTGCCCTGGCTCAATGCTAGGGAATTCTGGGAACTGTAGTTTAGTGAGACATTTAACCTCTGTCAGAGCTCTGGTGCCACAATAAACTACAGTTCCCAGAATTCCATAGCACTGAGCCAGGGCAGTTAAAGTAGTTGAAACTGGATTATTTCTGCAGTGTGTTTTGTCCCATAAATACACATTTCAAGCTTAAAAGCTTCAGCAACCAACTTTCAAATCATGACTAACCAAAGGGAAAAAAAAAATCAGTTTTCAAATCATGACTAACCAAAGGACTATAAAGTTCCAGATTTTGATTTGAGATGGAAAAGGGAGAGTTACTTTGAAAGCATACAAATTTAAGCCATAATTGTATTTCAGTTTCATTACTCCCATGTTACCTAAATTATTGATGTTATTTCTTACTCGGCTTTTAGTATGATTTCAAACAAATCCTATATACCTTGCAAACCATATTGAAATCAACAGACTTATTTCTGAATAGACATGAACAGGATTGCCCTGTTAATGGATTGGATTCCAGCCTTGTCATACCCAATCAAATCAATGGGCCTTAACCTGAGCATTAGCATCTTAACATCTCTTAAATCAGTGGGCCTCAGTCTGATCATTAGTACTTTAAATTCCACTGATTTAAGTGCACTCTGCCTAAGCACGACTGAGTACAGATCTAGCCTAAAGTTGTTGGGTGCCTCCAAGTCATTTTTGACTTACGGCGAGTCTGAGGCAACCCTATCATATAAATTATAATAAATTTTTATTTATATCCCGCCTCTCTGCACAGCAGTCGAGGCGGCATACATCAATTAAAAAAGAACAAGCTAAAATCTCAACCCTAGGCCCAACCCACCCCCCCATAAAACAGAATTAAACTAAATTAAAATTAAAAACATAAATATAACAGTTAAAAACAAATTAAACAGGTGGACACTTTATAGGGTTTTCTTAGCAAATTTCTTCACAGGGGTTTTGCCATTGCCATCCTCTGAGGCTGAGAGAAAGTGACTTGCCTAAGGTCACCCAGTGGGTTTCCATGACCGAGCTGGGAATCAAACCCTGATCTCCAGAGTTGTAGTCCAGTGCTCAAATCACTGCACCACACTGGCTCTCAGGCTAAAGATATCTAATTTTAAAGTTTGCTTTAATTTGTTAATATAGGATTGCTTTCCATATTTTTCTGCTTTACTGATTTTGTAAAGCACAATTACACCACAATCTTCTGAATCCATGGGTTTTTTTAATCCATGGATTCAACCATCCATGGCTCAAAAATACTCAAAAATATATAAATTCCAAAAGCAAACCTTGATTTTGCAATTTTATATAAAGGACTTCATTTTATTATGCTGCTGTATATAATAGAACTTGAACATCCATGGATTTTGATATCCACGGGGGGTCCGGGATCCAGCAGATACCAAGGGCCCACTGTATTTATGGAAGAGCAGGGTACAAAATTTTAACAAATACTCACTCTTGTCCTAATCTTTTTGTTCTGGATGAATACTTCAAGGTTGGTCCTGTACAAAAAATTACGGTAATAAGTATAAGAATGGAGTAATAGGATAACATAGTGACTAAAGCCTTTTTTGTACACAGAAAAACTGTTCAAGGCCTGCATCTGCCATCCATTCATAAACCAATTACTTTCTCTTCAGGCTTGGATCAGGAAATTAAACAAACATGTCCAACACTACCTGGCAACTGTTGTAATGCGGCAGTCATACCCAACCCTAGTGCCTTGCAGATGTTTTGAACTACAACTCCCAGTATCCTCAACAAGCTGGTGAGTGCGAGGTTGGGAAAGAGTATACTAATGAGGGATTAAATTTAATTGAATTGTTTTCTGCCACCCAAGCAAATATTATTAGGGGCTGCATGGTGAGATACAGAGAATAGCAACTTATAGTAAGCATTAGTACTTTTAATCAGGCAACCCCTGACAATTATTACTTTGTTATTGTGAACATGGCACTCTTTTTAATGCAGTGTCTTATATTATTTATAGACAGCTTTATTACACACATGTATTTAGAACACGCCTATGCAAATCTGATGTCGGCTCAGCAATAGCTGGATGGATTTCTGATCATGCATGTTTCTATGTAATGAAATGTAGAATCACACTAGCTTACTAAGGCAATTTTGAACAAGAAACATTACCAAAACTGGCTCCTTGGTTGACTTTGAATATTTAAGTATTTGACTATGATCCATAACTATGGTCATAATTTAAGACAGAGTTAAGTGTAGAAACACATTGCAATCACTGAGTTTAAGCATTGGTCTTCAATTGCAGTGTATGTATGGTTCTCCCTGACCAGTATTCTTCAACTGTGTTTTACTTCAATTCCCATCACCCTCACCTGATTTGTTATCCCTGTTTTTACCTCCACTATCAGCACACCTGACTGGCATCACAAACAATCTTTACCTTACTGTGTTCTGACATTCTCAGTCTTTTTTTAATCATTTGTTGTTGGTTGTGAACCCATCACGGGGCTTTCTTGGCAAGCTTTGCTCAGAGGGGTTTGCCATTGCCTTCCTCCGAATCTGAGAGAGTGTGATTTGCCCATGGGATGGAAACCCATCTAGTGGATTTCCATGATCAAGCAAGGATTTGAATCCTGGTCTCTTGTAGTCCTAGTCAACATTAAATCCACCATATCCCACTAGGATTTTTTGTGTGTGTGTGTGTGTGTATGTGAGTGTGTGTGTCATTAAAACAATTAAAACAAACCCTTAGAGCTATATTTTAATAGAAGTCTTATATATTAATATTTTATTGGCATCATAAGAAAAAAAACTGTCAATATTTCATAAACATTAATCTTTGAAAGAATCCAAGTATATAAAAGGTTTGAGACTATTATGAGAAGCCTCACAAAGAAGGCAGTAATCAAGGATATATAACCAGTTGCAGTCAACCATGCAACTGGTTGACTGACTAGGAAAGCAATTCTCAATACTTTTGGTTTTAAATTATTAGAAATTTACATTGAGGCTATGCATGTAATGGATGTTCAATACAGACATTTTTAAGGCAATGTTTGTTTGGTATCAGGAACCAGTGAAACAAGATAACTGCATCCCTATATCCACTTACCTATACCTCGGGAAAGTTGCTTTTTATACTGTAATTCCCAGTTGACGGACTGGAGTCTGGGAGGTACAGTCCAATAAAGTAACTTCCAAGTTCTCAGCAGCCTCATTCAACTCAACAGGCTTAGTTCTGAGTAGATATATATAGGATTGCATTGGTACCAACTTTGGCATTGTGTTGTAAAGATGGTAAGATTGAAATATATTTGATGGCATTGTTTAGTATGTGGAAATCTTTTGGAAATGTATTGCTTTGAGATGTAATTATCTCCCAGGGTGGTTGTCTTGTTAGACTGTTGCAGCAGAGTCTTGTAGCACCTCAAAAGACTATCATTTGTTGTAATAAATATGGACTGCAAATATTACACAGTAATTAATGCAGGCTACATTTATTACACAGACTGCAGTGCAATATTGCCTTTGAGACAAGAGCAATGAAGCTACTGGTAGTATTTGGGCAATTATCAATTTTTTGTATAAACCTTCAATGTTAAATCAGTAATCTGTTATAGCACTGGAAAATTCTAAATTTACTTGCTGTAGAAGATGAGTTATAAAATGCTCTGGAAACATTAGTTACTATAATAATTATTCCAAACTATGGGTAAATAAGTTACTGTGAAACTGGGAATAATTTTGTCTCCTCTTCTGGGACTTTATTGTCATACAGGAAATAAAAGCTACTGTACAGATTCCATATAATACTTAATATTTCTTTTATGACAAACAGTATGAAGGTTCACTTTAGCTCTAGAACATGTATGCATCACTTCTTTGCAGTTCAAGTTTTGCCAAATTCTTTTCATATTTAAATTTTTTTAAAATAAATTACTGACTAAAAAAGAAAGCTGGGAATTAAGCTTCCAGTCAGTCTATAGAAAACCACAAGAGTCAAGGCTGCATGAAAGCTTATCACCTGGTCATCTCATGTGTGAAGACCATCCTTCTCCATCCTGACACCTTCTGGAATTGTAGGATTACATATCTGACAAACCAAAATCTATCCATTATTAAGTAAGATGCATGGAAGACCAGACCTTTATATAAAATTCTTGCTGGAAGATTAATGCCTGAATGTCACTCTAGTAGTTGCCAAATTTCTCTCTGAGGCAGCTAGGATTAGAACCCACTAGGTATAAAGAGTCAGCGGATCCCAGTAACAACAAAAATCCACCATATTGTGCATTTTGATTGGTCCAATAAAGGTATCAGTTTGGTGGATTTTTGTTGTTACTGGAATTGCTATATGGCCAATACGATTACCCCTGGATGTTAGTTAGAGCTGAGTTAGACAGAGTTAGATTTAGCATCTTTCACAACTCTTGTATTATTGTGGCCAGTTTTATTTTGGAAAATTTTATATGAATATTTTAATTGAATGTGTAAATGTTGGGTCTATGGAATGAAATAAATTGTAACTAATAGAATTACATCATAATCTGTATGGCACATAGGCTACATCTTGGGGAAGGTTGATAGATGGTTGATATAGACAAACTAGTTTGGTGCAGGAGCCTTTGTCTATTTGTGTCTTATTTCTGCAAAACCAATCCACACTTCACTGAATATTTCATACCTAAAGGATTTCAGGTTTGTGACACAGCTGTGGTAGAAAACTCATTCTCCCTAAAACAGCACTGATCAATGGGAGAAGGAAAAGCAGATTGGCCCTAGTCCAGTGTTAGCTCCACTGCTTCTTGTTAGTTGGAAAACCCAATGTCAGGGACAAAAAAAAAGCAGCTTGTAAATTTAGCAGCTTTCCTTTCTCCCTAACACCAACCGTTTCCCTGCCCCTACCCCATCTATAACATCATGACAATTGCTCCAAAGGAGATGTTCTATATAAACAGGAATGGTAAAGCAAACCCATGTTACTTTCAAAATGAGCCTATGCTGTATCTGGTGGAATTCCTGCTTTTCAAAAGATTGTAATATGGTAGGTGTGATGGGATCTTTGAAGCAAACAAGGAGAGAAGTAAGGGTGCACACTGCTGGTCTCTTATGAAACAAGAACCAAAGGTATTGTGGAGGCTTTAGAGCACCACCTTACAAACCATATATCTGATCTGCAGAAGCCATTAGATTTGCCTGATTGCAACAATCACCTTTCTACAATGCATTCATGTGTCTGTTAATGGCAGAAATAACTGACCCTTATAAACATCTTATCAGTTTTAGTGGTATTGAGGCAGAGACTGATAGGGGTTTGAAAACAAGTAGGCAAGTTTCCCTTGGAACAAGTAACCAGACTGCAAGAATACTATGAGCACATTCCATCCTGTTGACTGGGAAAATGTCAAATGCTAAAACACTAGAAGGCTAACTCCGAATAATAGTTATATAGCCTGGACAAAAAAAAATTTAAATTATGTAGCAAGAGCATAGTCTTAGAACATAAACACTTACTCTGGATTACAGCAACAGGTACCAAGCTCTGCATTAAAGTGTATCTTGACAAAGCTACTGGCTAGGGGACAATGGGAATATTTCTGATTTACAAGTGGTCTATGGTATCAAGACACAGATCCACCTTCCACACACTATACTTTGTATGTCTATACATATACTTTGTGCAGCTTGAGGCAAGTTATTCCACAGGCTTCATTTGTCCTAAACTTGAGATTAATTTCATTGGGGTTTTCTTCAGATTTTGGACCCATCTACACTGAGGGGATTCCTAAGATCAGCCTGCTAAATCTTGCCTGGCAGGTATATCCTTTTGATTGACCCTTCTACTGATATCTCTCAGGACAGACATTTCCTGCTTTGCATCAAATTTATCAAATGAATATTCAGGGATTCAGTCTGAAAAGATAAGAATGGAGGTGAAGATAGAAAAACTATTTTCCACATGAGGCAGCCACTTGCAGTGGGTTATCAATTTGCCTCTAAAGTCAGTGTAGAAAGAGACTTCTTTTTTTGTTGAACTATCTCCAATTTTGGGGGGTTGCAGACTGCCAGAAATAGTGCAAATTGAGTCCACTTTTAGGGTTAGGGTTAGTGC